GATAGAAATCCTGCATTACCTTGAGGACCCTACTTGGAGGATCTTGGGACTTAGTAAGTAGGGTTACAAGTACCCTAACTGGGGTTCTAACTATAGTTACCTTGTTTATAACCTCAGTTACTATGTCCCATGATCCTTTAAGTAAGCTATGGGCATTATGGCATATTCCTTATTTTTTCTGGGTCATGCAGTCGTCAACCCTAACACGCACCAAAACCTTAAACCCACGGAAAACCACAGGAAGCCTCCCCTGCAGAACCCTCAAAGCAGTCCCTGTAGAACCCTTAAATTAAAGGAAACTACAGGTGGGGAGTTTAGGGTACATAGGGCTTCTATAAGGCTTCTATATGGTATATAGACCTTCTATAAGGCTCCTATAACAGTAACTACCCACCTGAAAATGTCCTAGATTAAAGGCAACCTGCATAGAACCCCCGAATAGCCCCTACTACAGATGCCTTTCTAGAGCCGTATAGAACCTATTCTATAGGGGCCTCAATACTTGCCTGCACTATTTTGGAGGTTCCTTAATGTAACTATAGTATAATATACCCCAAAACCCTAATTTAATTAGTAGGCACCTATATCAAACCCTAAACCCTAAAGCCCTAAAGCCCGAAACCCTATCCCTAAACCCTTTAGAACCCTTTAGGACCCCTGTAAGCAACCATTTAAAGGAGCCCCACAGCCTCTACGAACCCCGCAGGAACCCTTAAAGTCCCTTTTTGCAAAACCCCGCACAACCCATAGAGTAGCCGGTTTAGGGTTTAGGGTTGGGGTTTAGGGTTTAGGGTTCAGGGTTTGGGCTCTTTACAACCCTTAATGGAACTCCTAGAGCACCCAGTATAGAGCCACTAACCCTAAACCCTAAACCCCTAAACATCCTTAAACCCTAAACATCCCTAAACATCCCTCAACCCCAAACCCCTAAACATCCTTAAACCCCCCCTAAACCCCTAAACCCTCAACCCTAAACCCCCAAAGCCCCTGAGCCCCAAAGCCCCCAAACCCTCCAAACCCCAAAGCCCCTGAGCCCCAAAGCCCCTAAGCCCCTAAACCCCTAAACCCCTAAACCCCTAAACCCCCAAAGCCCCCAACCCCCAAAGCCCCTGAGCCCTTAACCGGCCTTACAGCCCTGAGAGGCCCAGGGTCTTCTTGAGATGTAGCGACTCCAGGAAAAGGCAAAAGCGGTGGAAGCCTCCGTCCACCCAGGTGTAGGGGGTTGGGGTTTAGGGTTCAGGTGGTTTTAGGGTTTAGGGGTTTAGGGTTTAGGGTTTAGGGGTTTAGGGGTTTTGGGGTTTTGGGGTTCAGAGAGGTTTGGGGGTTTAGGGGTTTAGGGGTTTAGGGTGTAGCGTTTAGGGGCTTAAGGTTTAGGGTTTAGGGGTGCGGGGAGTACCGTAGGCTTCCGGTGTAGGGCTTCGGTTTTGGGGTTTGGGGCTGCAGCTTTTCGGGTTTGGGGTGCAGGGCTTAGGGCTGAGATAAAACGGAGAATGTCAAGACCCGAGTCTGTGCCCCAAATTGCGCAGGATCAGGGGACGTCGTAAATAGGTTAAGTTCTGGGCGTCGGGATAATAAACAAGGCAACCGTAGCAATCACAGTATATAACCCCAATAAAGAGGTAATGAGAACGGGGCTTTAACCACACGCTCAGAAAGGCCAACACCCTGGAATCAAACATATGATTGAAGCTGGACAGGGATGCTCACCATGATGTGGACCTCGCGAAGAGAGCCCTTACTACTCGTCTTAGTTCTCATTTAGAACGAAACCTTTTGGATTAGGTGGATAACTGGGGGTTTCTAGATAACCACAAACTTTCGGATCTAGGGTTTAGGGTTTTGGGATGTAGGGCTTAGGGTTTAACCGTCAGGTTCGGGATGAGAACTTCAATCGTGGATGGGCTCCTTTTCCATGGGCTCTTCAAGGCTTCTTGCAGGATTCCCCTTCTTGGCCAAACCTAACCCCTAAACCCTAAACCCTCAACCCCAAAAGCCCCTGGGAAGCCCTCAAAGAAGCAGAGAAGCGCAGGCTTCGGAGAATGTTCGTTCAGACCCTGAGCCCTCAACCCTAAACCCCAAAACCCAAAAACCCTAAACCGCAAAGCGCAAAACCCTAAACCTTAACCCCCAGAGCCGAAAAACCTAAACCAACTCCGCAAACCCTTCACCTTCAAACCAAGTACCTCCCAGACTACTTCTGAAGACCCGCTTCAAAAAGAGGGTAGGCGTTATTCTATGCCGCTTTAATTTAATGGGAGACCCCCAAAAAAGAAAGAGTTTCGTATGTATACAATCGTTTAGGGCTGAGGTTTTTCAGTTGCTTATGGCCACAACCTCTACACATGGCATCAATGTAGAACAACCACCCTAAACCCAAACCCTAAACCCTAAACCTAAACCCTAAACCCCTAAACCAAAACCCTAAACCTAAACCAAAACCCTAAACCCTAAACCAAAACCCTAAACCCTAAACCCCTAAACCAAAACCCTAAACCCTAAACCAAACTGGCTTTCGGCGTCGCAGGAGTTGAGGGACTTCGACATGGCGAGTGCAAGGGCATGGTCGGCAGGCAAGCGGTACTGCAGACGAGGATTTCGGATTCAGGGCTTAGGATTTCAGGCCTGGGTTTGGGGTTTAGGGTTTAGGGCTTAGGGCTTAGAGTTTGGGGTTTTGGGTTTGGGGTTTGGGGTTTCCAGTTTGGGGTTTTGGGTTTCGGGTTTTAGGGTTTTAGGGTTTGGGGTTTTGGGTTTAGGGTTTAGGATCAAGGCTTTAGGATCAGGGTGAGGGCTTGGGGGTTAGGGTTTAGGGTGGACTTCACGGGCTCCCCTTGTAAAGTTCAAGGCGTTGGGAGCCAAGCTTCAAGAAGAGATCACGGTTTCGGGTTTCGGGTTTCGGGTTTAAGGCTTAAGGTTTAGGGTTTAGGGTTTAGGGTTTAAGGCTTAAGGTTTAGGGTTTAGGGTTTAGGGTTTAGGGTTTAGGGTCTACGGCTTAGGGCTTTTGGGGTTTAGGGTTCTCGAGCTTCGGCGACAACTGGATTTGAGGCTTTAAGGTTTAGGGTTTAGGGTTTAGGGTTAAGGTTTAAAGCTTTCTTTGGACTTGGTCGTTTGCCGCTTCCGCAAGGGTTTTGATTTGCATTTGGGGCTCAAGATTTAGGCTCTTGACGCTGTGCGTGTTCAGCGCAAATCACTCGACACCCTAATGGCCCCAATGCAAGCCGGAACCTGCTCCACATTGCATGACAGCTCGCAAATGAACGCTTTTTCACCGCTTCACCGCATCATCTCCTACGTGAGCACCTACAACCAACGGTTGGCACGTAGTGCCGACTAGGAGAAGCCGCGGGCCTTCAAACAACATTCGGATAAAGTTGGACAACAGACCTCACAACCGGCACACAACCCGAAACTCTGACTCGCAAGCTCTAAACTAAACCGCAACCCTGAAAATTAAACTCAAAATCCCAAGCCTGAAACCAGAACGCCTGCAGTGAAAGGGAGGTCTGTACAAAAACTGGTCCATGACAACTAGTGCGGCAGCTGCGACGTCATCACCTTCGAAACCCATGAGGCACTTAGAGCACTTGCAGGTTCATGGATACAAAAAGAAGCAGAGTGGAAAGTAAACCGGCCATACGCGATGAAGTGCGCGCACGGCACGTGGACGCAAAACTGCAGCAAGCAGATGCTTGGGCACAAGTGCCTTCTGACCGTGCACACCTGGCCCCTCCCCGTCGCCTGCCTTTAAGCGACTGTTATTCTAAGGTCCATCGGCAACTAAGACGGGTCGGTGCCGAGCATTGCTTGCTGCTGGGCTTACTGCAGCTCCAAACTAACAGAATAGATCTAAGGACTTTGGGATAGGGACCCTTAATCCCATTACCTTAAATAACCACTGTATAGTCCTTCTATACCCCTTATATAGTCCCTATTAAGGGTCCCTCCTAAAGCCCTTAGAATAGAGATCCCGCGCGTGATGAGCGCTTGCAGCTTCTTGATGGCATCAGTCCCGATATTCGCCCTCGGTGTCGGGAACGGACCGCACCTCTTCGCTGCGAGCACGGCGGTTCATACGGCTACGGCGAGTCGGAGTCATACGCTGCCCGAAGCGCGGAAGCTCTGGGAAGTTCTCCTGGGCTCCCGTTCAGGGGCCGTCAAGGATGGCAACTTACGGTTGATGGACAAAATCCTGCATGACCTTATATACCTAAACTATGGGATTTATGGTACTATACTATATCTGGGTCATGCAGAATTTTGTCCATCAACAGTATCAGCACTTTTGCAAGACTCCCTGCTGATGGCAGATGACTTAGATACACAAGGAAGCAGAAAGCGCATGCTCTCCTCTGTCTGTTCTCGTTTTACTGCTTGCCAAAGAAGTCTAGCATCCACAGGAATGTCAGGCATGAACGATATCGCAAACGCTGTTACACACGCAGCAATCTCGGCCATGTGAGCTCCACGAGCCTGCCCTGCACTTGAACCTGCTGCCCCACGTGGAGTTGGTGTGCCGGTACCTGAAACTCGAGGTGTTGAGGGTTCAGCGGCTCTTCACGGAGAATGCTTGGGGGATTTGAGTGGGGTTCCAGGTTTTTATTGGCGGGATGATGGTTTAAGACTTGCGTAGAGGGCAAGGGCTTCAGATTTGCAGACTTGTACGCTTTATGACTAGGTTCAAACTACTGTAACTTTGCTGATGACTGCAGCGAAATTCGGATCCCTAAATAACCTGAACCCCAACACCCCAAACCGTAAACCCTAAACCCCACACCCTAAACCCTAAACCCTAAACCTCTAACCGTAAACCCGACAAACTGCCAAGTTGCCTTTTGCCCACCAGCGATGGGCACCCGGTGGTCACGGGTGACCCTGAGCCTGGATGCAGGTTCTTCAAGGGAATCCTACTGAAGGGCCCTACTGTAAGGTTTAATGGCCTTCAGGGTTTAAAGGTTTAAGGTTTAGGGGTTCATGGGTTTAGGGTTTAAGGGCCTTTAGGGTACAGGGTTGAGGGTTTGGGTAGGCTTCTCCAGCTAGCAGGAACACCGTTGAGCGGGCCTGCACCGAAAATCTCCGGGCCCCAAGCTCGTAGACAGAATAAGGTTCGGCATATTATACTCCAACTACTATTACGCCCAGATTCTACTATGGGAGTTATCATTCAGACTACGAAGACGAACACATGGGAAAGGGCTTGGAAAGTCTTCTAGGAAGGTTTGGAGCTTGACCACGCATGCAGCTACTGCCAGGTGCTGCGTCGGGGGCGAAGCGACCTCCACAACGGAGCCATTCGCTGCAAGGATTCTCGAACCTTGGCGCACATCCTCGATGCGCACCAGTGAGCCTGTCTCCCCCTTGAACATTGTGCCAGCCACAAAGCAGCATGGCCCGGTGGCTTCCGCAAACGTGCCAGAGAAGGAGCTCTCCGTCACTGCGGACCCCGACATAGCATCGCCCACAACCATCCACGACGCCTCAGACACCTCGCTGGCCACAGAGCTATCCTCGTCCGCAACACGAAAGTGTGGAGCTTCATTCAGTCGCCTGCCTTCCTGCCGAGCCCCAGCAAGCTGTTGCTCCAGCTCCTGGCAGCGCTCTTCGCACCTGCGCTTCTCGATCACAAGGTTCTCGATGCGGGCCCGATCCCTTCGGCGCTGCTCCTCCACGGCTCGCAGCCGATCGGCCGCACCGGCCATCACTGAATATAGCCTCGCTGCGAACTGCGTGCGCTGCTGCATGAGCTGGGCGACTGCACTTCGTGCAGCGCGGATTTCGGTCTGCACCTCGACATGGCAAATGTTCCCAACTAATGATATTCCACTTGATCCAGTGAATGTCGAAGCCAAACGTCAACCCCAAAAAAGCCCCAAACCCGTCCTCAAACGACACCAACCAAAGAGCACTCCTAACGGTATGTAAGCGAAGACGAAGCAAAAGAGTGACGGCAAGCTGTGAGTTTACTTCATCGCGCTTTCCAGGCCGACGGGTGAGAGAGACATGTTCGCTAAGTCATGATTTGGATATAGAGATTGTGCAGAAGTTTCCAGCCTTCCGCCTCTGCCGCCGGACTACGTGCAATCGGTGTGCTCTCTCGGTGCATCGCCGGAAGCTCCATCGAGGCCAAAGCAAAGTCAAAGAATCGCCGAGAATCGAAGGAAGATCTAATGCAGCGTTGGCGTTGAATCGTTTGCGATGTATCTGACATCTCCCAAGGAACCCTTTCCTCACGAAGTTCGGGAGGCTCCAACAGAAGACCCGCAAGTCCCTGGCAGTCTGTGTGACACAGGCAATTGGATGGGCCTTCGGAAGGCCACCGCACCAAGCCAGCGGACGTGAAAGTTCTGACATCCCATGTCTTCAGCTCTGCCATGGCGTGCAAGTAGACGGCTGTGAACAACTGGTCCGCGTCCCGGCCGGCAGGCGGCAGATGGTAGAGTGCTTGAGTTCGGGTGAGCCACCTCTCTGCCTGAACGGGCTCAGAAGACCAAAGATACGTCAGGCGATCCACCACCGCTGCACAGGCTGCATCACGGTAGCCTAGTCCTAAGCATTTCATGTGGACCCATGCGTCGAGCACTGTCTCCAGAGGCCAATCAGGGGGACGGAAGTAAGCTCAGAAAGACGACTGTCTCTTCCCACCATGGAGATCCGTTCACCTCCAGCGCACGAGATGCCTGCGGCACTGTTCTTCGAGCCTGTGGAGCTGCAGCCATCAAACTTGTTTCGAATTATCAAAAACTGCAAAGTTCCCCCACCACAATAAATAAATCCAAAATAAAACTTCGAAAACCTCAATGAGCCTGCTTGCTGGACCGCACAAAATCGTGCGATAAAGCTGGGCCAAATGCAACTGGACCCCGAATTACAGACTGCGAGGAACCGCGGTGTTTGGTGGTTGGAAAAATCATCGGCGTGCGGTCGTTCGCAGCAACATCGACGTGGGTCAGAATCCTTTCAACAGCTTGCCATCAGACTGGAAACAGGTGAGCAGCATTTTCAGTGAGTCATGAAAACCAAGTTGGCCTTCTGAAAGTCGCACATCAGCCTGTGAACCTTCGCACGTTCAGTCACTAGCACTAGCATCAGCCCCACATGACCATAATGACGGATTCATAAACCCCACGAAACACCAACAAAACGGGCACGGCACTGTCCGATTACCCGGCATGGGTCTGAAAACGCAAGTCCGGGGGGCTCTACGACAAGTATCAGCACAACACCAGAAAACAACAAACTACATCAGCACACAACCGTAAACAAAAACGAAGCACCAATGCAAACCTCTGCTTCTGTTTTCTTGCATGAGCATCTGGGAAGCTTCATATTCCATTCTGGCCCTTTTAAAAAAATGACACAAGAATGAAGCATCTCTTCAGTGTACCAGGAAATTCTTTTTCCGGTGTGACACAGTTAAACAGTACAACTCTAAGCG